GTTATAATTATTTTTGTTTTAAAATGTTATGAAATCTCTCAGACATAAAAAAGGCACAAATAGTAGAACGCTTGTGTTTGCCAACTAGCTTAAAGTGTAAACATTGTTAAAGTCCCCACACATCTCTTCCTAATTGTATCCCCTCCTGTGTGCCTACATGTAGCCATTATACTCAATGGGAATTACTGTTCCCATATATATTTTTTCACCTTTGCTACAAAAGAGTTTTGACTCGATAATATGTAGTGTTGCTGTTTGCATTTTAAACTGGGTATTACAATTATTTTTACAAATCATCTTCTGTAACTTATTATTCAGCATTTTGTTTAGAATCATTCTTGTTGCCTTATATTGTCCTTGTGTACTTCTTTTCACTACTATGTAGTGTTCCTTTGCACAAATAGGTTACAATTTAGCCACTGTGCTGTACAAGGACAGTTAAATTGTTTCCACTTTTCTGCTGTTACAAATAATCCTTTTAGAAGCATTTTTACATATGTCTTCTCATGTGAGTTTCTGTCTGGTAATACCTACAAGTGGGGTTTTGGGGCTATCATATATCTAACTTGATTAATTTCTTTTGAAACATCCTGTTTTAGGCTTTCGTGACACTTCTCTTGACTGATTTTCATCATTCTTCATAGGCCAGACATTCTGTTTCTTTTCTTTTTCTTTTTTTTTTGCATCCTCCTCCTTTACCACACTATATTATATCTCAGGATGTGGTCCTTTGCTCTTCATCTCCATGTTGAGCAGGTGATTTATTTAATTTTATGGTTTTAAGTATTATCTACACAATGTTAACTTCTCTGATTCTATCCCTAGCTAGACCTCACTCCTGAACTACAAGCTATGCTCTCTCTGGACATCAGAAAGAGATCTCAGACCTCACATGGTCAAATGGATGTCTTGTCATCCAGCTCTTTACCTTTTTCTCTACATTGCACAGCTGAAGGCTTCTCATTCTTCAGCTTTTAGCTCATGTGTCACTCCGTAGAAAAGCTGTATCTTTCTGTCCATGCCTCCCTGCCCATTTTTTATGATATCATTCTGTTTTATTTTCTGCAGAGTGGCTTTCAGTCACATTATCTTTTATATATTTTGTTTTTACCCTCTGGAAACATTTCTTGAAGGGAGGGACTTTGCCTTTCTTCACCATTTTGTATCCCTTTCTTAGAATAGTGACCAGCACATAGGAAGGAGACAGTAATTATTTAAATTTATTATCTTCCTCCAAATCTGTAGATTCAGGTTCCCACCTAGTTTTAAGATGATTCTTCAAAATCCTATAGCCTTGATTTCCTTAGTGCAAATCCATGTGCTACACTGTCTCTCAGATTCATCCAGAGGTCCTTTGGTTGGCCTTATTCTCAACATATTAACCCAAACTATCTTCTTTCCAATGCTATGTTGTCTTAATGCATTTTCTATAGCTATCACAAAATACTGGAGGCTGGATAATTTACAAAGAAAAGAGGTTTATGTGACTCATAATTCCGGAGGAAGGGATTCTAGCACATGTTATAGTCATATAGTTACAGTTCTGTGATTCTAGTAGATGTACAACTTCTTGCAAGGGTCTTGTGCTGTGTCATAGCCTTTATAGGAAGTGGAAAAGGGGAGCTAGTACATGTAGATGAGCACACTTGTGAGAGCCTGGGGGTTGTTGCCAGGATTGCTTTACAGACACCCACTGAGAAGGAAATTGAATAAATCTCTTCATGAGGGAAGAGCCTTCATGACTTCAACCACTTCGCAAAGGCCCCACCGTCTCTCTGTACTGTTATGTTGACAATTAAATCTCAACATGAGTTTTTTGTTTGTTTGTTTGTGTTTTGAGACAGGGTCTCACTAGGTAGTTGAGACTGACCTGGAACTCACTATGTACCCAGGCTGGTCTCGAACTCACAGCGATCCTCCTGCCTCAGCCTCCGAGTGCTGGGATTACAGGTGTGTGCCACCATGCCCAGCCTCAACATGAGTTTTTTGTTTGTTTGTTTGTGTTTTGAGACAGGGTCTCACTAGGTAGTTGAGACTGACCTGGAACTCACTATGTACCCAGGCTGGTCTCGAACTCACAGCGATCCTCCTGCCTCAGCCTCCGAGTGCTGGGATTACAGGTGTGTGCCACCATGCCCAGCCTCAACATGAGTTTTGATAGGGAGAGATCTTGTTGAAAGCATAGCATTCTTCTCTTTAAAAAAAAAATTTTTTTTTTTTTTTTTGGCACAGGGCATCCAACTCGGGTCCTTGTGCCAGTGAGGCAGGAAGTGGAATCACTGGGCTAAATCCCAGGCCCTAATTTTTTTTTAAATAACTAGCCTTCCCATTTACTCATGGATCTGCTTCCCTCTGTCCTTCATTCCGGTTTGTCATTACTTCTCTTTGCCTTCTTCACAGTCCTCGTGTCTTTGTCCTTACTCTGGCCACCATCTCACTGTGAACCCTCACTTTGTCTAAGGCTATTTCAGAAGCTCTTGTCTTTCTCTGCTCTGTCTTTTTGGTTTCACGGCCTTAGCTATCTTCTGCATGCTAATAACTCCTTCCCTGCGTGATCTCCCCCCTAAGCTCCACTTTGGCTCTAGGCTTCCGTGGTGATGCATCACCTGGTTTTCGTTTTATTTGATAGACCTAGCACCCTCACTGTCATGGTTTGGACCTCTGTTCTCTACCACACCGCTGTAGTGTCCTGCAGTAAGATGTGTTGTAGAAAGTCCTTGGCGTTTTTTCTTCGTCTTCCCGATTTCTGACTGTGATCTATTCTAATGTGTACCCCATGGTGATGCTCTTTAACAAATACAGTGCAGCCCTTTCCCTGCGTGCCTTACAGTGTCTCGGGCTCCTTGAAAGGTCAAGTTCTGGATCATCGGCAAAACCACATCTGAGCTCCTAGTTTTCTTAAGATCCCGAAGATCATCTCTCCTTGAGGCTGGGCCTTTGTCCATGCTAGTTCTTAATTCACAGTTTCTTCCTCCTTCACGCCTACCTCCCTGGAGAACTTTTGCTCATCTAAAAGGTGATTCACTATCCCCTTTTCTGGGAAGTCCTCTGATACAGTGGGACAGAAATAAGAAATTCCTTCTCTCTATTGTCTTAGTGTGTGTGTTTTTAAAAATTATCTGTACTATAGTACTGGAATCTTTTATTCAACTAATGTTTATTCCATTGCTTGCTATCTGTTCGTATTCTGGGCATAGCAGAAAGAAGAATAAACAAGACAAAATTCTTATTTGTTTTTTGGTACTGGGGGTTGAACTCAGGTCCTTGCTCTTGCAAGGCAGGCGGTGGAACCGCTGAGCTAAATCCCCGGCCCTCAAAGTTCTTATTTTTAATGAGTATGTATTTTAGAGAGGAGGAAAGAGGAAAAATAAATAAATCAACCATGTTATTGTAGGTAGTGGTAGGTGGCAGTAAGATTAAATAAAACCAGATGGAGAAAGTGTGTGTGTGTGTGTGTGTGTGATTGTTATGACACTTGAGTGAGATGCGCTGTTAGAGCTCAGACTTTAAAGATATTAATCAGCCATGCAGAGATCTGAAAGAGGTGCCTTCTAAGCTGAAGGAACAGCAAGCACAGTTACAAAGAGGACCCAGAATGAGCTTGGGATGCTTATGGTGCAGATAACGGTATCAAGGCAGCAGCAAATGACCAGGGGAATGGGTCCCTGTACCATGTAACACCAGAGAGGTAGACAGGGCCAGAGTATGTAGGGCCTCAAAGGTAAGATCTGTCCATTTTAAGTTAGTAGTGAGAAGCTACTGGAAGATTTTAAGTGAGGGAATGAAACGATCTTATTTGTTTCTGTCATTCTGGTTTATAACAGGGAAAAGTGCAGCGGGGTAGAGACTAGGAATTGTCACCTACCGCAAGGGAAGAGTGTCGGTAGCGTGGATTACTGTGGTGTATTTACTGCTCATGAGAGAAGTGGGATGACTTAGTGTATATTTTGAGACTTACTGCTAGTTTAGATATGCTAGCTTAGGCCGAGATGGGTCCAAGAAGGTTTGACTCTGTAGACTCACTGTGGCCATGGCAAGAGCAGTTAGGGCATTCAGAGTAAGCACAAGAGAGAACTTACCTTGTTACTTTAATTATTTTTGTTTCAGTCTCCTTTAGACTGTGTGCCAGTCTTCAGTTTATTTTTTGATGTTAGCATAAAATAGATGGTAAATAAATGCTTGTTTGCAGGTTTGAATTTACAATGTAGTTTTACCAACATTCTGTTTTACCCTTATTTAGAACACCTTTGGACCACTGATGCTAATTAATACTAGTTTGTATTAATTTAAGGGATATAATCCCGTGAATAATAAAACACGATGAAAAAGGTGAGCCCATTTTCTCAGAGGTTCACAGTGCATCCTGAAGCCGTAGGAGTAAAAAGGGCCGCACCTTGGATTCAGAAGGTCTTGTCTTTCTGAAAAGGTCACAGACAACCCCCGCCACTCCACTGCAGTTTTTTATCTGACATCTATGGGGTACTTCAACAAATTTCTCAGACAGTATTTTTGTAAGTAGCAAATGAGCAGCAAGTGCTTTGTAATGTAAAAAGATACTTTGAAAGGGCTATTAAAAATAATCGGAGTATTCATTTCATCACTCAGTTCCAAAGGTGATTAGATCACTGTCATGAAATTCATATTTAAGCAGTGGCATATGAATGGCCACAAACCGGAGGAAGAGATAGACCACGGGAGAAGGGGGTGGTTTTTCAGAAATGTATAGGAAATTAATTTTCTTTGGCTTTGTTCTCTTATTCTTCACAGATAAATTTAATCATTCCAGTAGAGCAATTAAATAATAGATTTGTATTCTTCAAGATCTGGTAATCACACCTAGCTCGTGGTCTGTCTTCCCCAGTGTAATGTATATAGAGGAATAACATTAGTTAGGATTGCTTGTGGGCTTTTTCTTCATTTTTTAAAAACACGAATATATTGATGAACTCAGGCTGCCAAAATTTCCTCATGGTGATTATTCATTGTATTTTTACATCTAGGGTAAAAATCATGGTAAGAAACTCCGAAACTACTATGCAGCAAATAGCTGTCCTCCTCCTGCCAGAATGAACACTGCCGTGGAGCCTGCAGCTGCTCCTGTCATTTCAGTCCCTGCACAGGTGAGACACGTGTCAGGGAGAAGCAGTGTTAGGAAGCTGTCTTATGCACAGTCATGAAATTTATCATTCATATGTCCTTCGGGGTATAGCTGTACAAATACTCCTGAGAGGTCTTACTTGGTACTTCTAACTTCTTGAACTGTGTGCTGATTTATTGCATGTCAAAATCTTTGAACTTTGATATTTATGAAACAAATATTATAACATGAGTCTTTCTTTAAACAGTTCTCAAAATTCTGGGGTAAATATCCCTGAATGAAAAGAGAGTTACAAATTTTTTATTGCCATTAGTTCTCCTGATATTGTATCTTCCATTTACAGGATGTTTCTTGAGCGTGCCCTTTACTTATCTCTGTAGAAAGAGCTAGGATAAATGCTGTGAAGACATTGTAATTGTGAGATATACTTGAGAAACCAGTTCCTTTTGCTCTTTGGAAGACAGAGCAAGTGGTTCAGGCAAGATATTCCTGTGTTTGTAGTAGCCTCTGAAACATGGACTGTACTCCTTAACCTATCTTTGAAATGTTACTGCACACAGAACAGCATAGTGGTCATAAATAATAATTATTGAGGGGGCCAGGGACTTAGCTTAGTAGTTCCACCTGCCTTGCAAGTGTAGGGTCATGAGTTCAAGCCTTGGTCCAAAAAAAAAGAATAATTATTGAGTATATTTTCCAGGTGTTTTTGGTGCATTGTTTCCTTCAGGACTGGAACTAAGGTGAGATAAAGGATGCCTTGATTGGGTGCAGAGTTTAAGGAATAATGAAAAAACAAACAAACAAACAAACAAAAAACTCATACTCAAATCCAGGGCTACAGATTCAGCTCAGTGGCTTCTTACCTGCCTGGCACATTCAAGGTCCTGAATTTGATTCCTGGTAAGGGAAAAAAAGATAAGTCCATTAATGAAATATCTTAAAAATTCAAAATTAATTAAAAAATATTGAACAAGTCATCAAAAACTTGAAGATAGGATAAATATTACTGATTTTCTTCTTGCTTTAGGTAGCAGGATGAGCTGGCATATTAGTGGTGCTGATCTTTCTTCATTTATCTTTTGCAATAGGTTTCACTCTTCAAAATACTCCATTAAAATATTTATTTTGAGCCAGGCGTGGTGGCTCATGCCTGTAATCCCAGCACTTGGGAAGCTGAGGCAGGAGGATCGCTGTGAGTTAGAGACCAGCCTGGGCTACGTAGTGGGTTCCAGGTCAGTCTCAACTACATAGTGAGACCCTGTCTCAAACAAAACAAAACAAATTTATTTTGAATACTTAAGTTTTTTGGTGTTTGCTTAAATTCTGTGCATGAAGTAAGTGTCTCATTCCAGACTTGGGCCCTGACTTTATTTAATGCTTGCAACAACTTAAAGGAAGGTATCAGGCTTATTATTCAAAGTGTGGTCCATGGGCAGCAGCATGAGCCTCATTGGAGTTTGGTTATTAGAAGCTCAGGAAAGCTAAGTAACTTTCTTTAGCACTACATATTTTGTAAAGTGGTGGAACAGAATTTCTTAGGATCTTCCTAACCACCGTGGTATAATTTTACTTTTCTGAGGGTCAGTGTGTTAGTGCTTAATATGTGGATGGCAATTCCAGCTGTTACTCCTTCTCATAGATTAGTGGGGAAAATGAAATATATTAAAGGCCGGGGATTTAGCTCAGTGGTGTTGCCATCTGCCTTGCAAGTGCAAGGTCCTGAGTTTGATCCCTGGTACAAAAAAAAGAAAGAAAATGAGATATATTAAAATGGATCAGAGGACAAAAAAACACATGGAGGTCTTGAGCGGAGTAGTTTTCACATTGCTGTTTCCTAAAGGCTGCTCTAGAATTGGACGGCTGGTTCCTGTAAGGCATGGTTTGTGCCTGGATTCACCCTTCTGGGAAAACAGCCTGTGCTGACTCAAACAGCAAGGCCCTTGTGATTTTTGAAGGTAGCTATCCTATGTCTAGAGAGTCTTCTTGTCCAGGTCAAACAATTCTGTTTTCTTCAACTATTCCTGAAATGATACGACTTCCAGGATGTTGTCACATACATTATTCTCCCCTAGCCAAAATCTACTTTGTAACTTTTTGTTAACCTAACTGAATTGATGCCTACTCTGTCTTCCAGGCATGGTTTGATTTTCCTTTAACATGTTATTCCCTGATCTTTAACACATTGTCTGGGTCTGCTAGTTATTTTTTTCCTGATTATATTACATCTGTACCTAGTTTGTAGCCTCTGTGAGGGCAGGGGCTTTAAAACATATCCGACTATATTCCTCTGGCCTAGACAGCAAGCCCAATAAATAGTTGGCACTTAGGAAATGCTTATTGGTGGTTTCTGAGCAGACTTTACTCATTCTGAAAGTGAGATTTTAGGCCTTACCTATTTATTTCTCAAAATCTTCTATGCTGGAGTTTTTCAACTCCTCTTTAAATTTTCTTCAGTGGAGATAGCAATAAGCTATTTGTACTTTGGCACATTGATATAGGTGATTATAATGTAAAGGCATAATTAAGTGTCTCCCAGCCTTTTGTTTTTCTCCCGGATTTATTTATTTCTTTTCTTTATAAAGCAGAGTGCTTGTGGTCTGGCTATATCCTTTGGCTGCTTTCAGCTTTTAGAAGGACTTTGAGGAGGAGGAAGGGATAAGCTCCATATTTTTAAAACCTCGCTTCTTCTTCTTCTTGTGTCTTTCTTTGATGTCAGATGGGCTCCTTTAAGCCAGGAGGCAGAGTGATCCTGGCCACAGAGAACGACTACTGTAAGCTCTGTGACGCATCCTTCAGTTCCCCGGCTGTGGCTCAGGCTCACTATCAAGGGAAGAATCATGCCAAGAGGCTGCGGCTGGCCGAAGCTCAGAGTAACTCGTTCTTGTAGGTATTGCCGTTTTCCCCGAGACCAGTGTTACATGAGACAGGCTGTCTTTAAAGAAAGAGTTGAAAGGGTCCTTGTTTACAAGTCTCACTCTTAAAATTTCTTTTCTCCAGGGACTCATCAGAGGTGGGTCAACGGCGGGCCCGGAAAGAAGGGAATGAGTTTAAGATGATGCCAAATAGGAGAAATATGTACACAGTACAGAATAATTCAGGTATCCTGTTATTTTCCACATACTTTGGAAGCTTGCGCATATATTCTGTGAATGGTGTCTTATTTTTATTTCCTTTAATAGTAATAGTCCTGAGAAGTCAGATTAGTCATTGTTTTGCTGGTCTCGTGGCTTTCCATGCTGGTGTTTATTTCTGGCCTTATTTATTTCCTGCTTAGTGTATTATGCATTTCTCTTGGGTTTAAACTGTTATCTATGTTTCAAGGTCTCTTACTGTAGTTCTTTTATGTTTCTTTTGATGTCTGTCAGGTGGAAAATGTAAAATGCCTAATGAAAATGGGTTGATACTTTAAACTTGCACTGTGTCCAGTTCACATTTCTTGGGGAAAATAAAAATGTATACAGCAGTGGTTTTAAACCAGAGTAGTGAGTCAGTTTTCTGAGGTGTTTTTATAAAATAGGCGTACCTAAACCATTATGTAGGTATTTTCAATCAGTAAATTTGGAGTAGGACCCAGACCTACGTAAGCTTTGAAAATACTTCCTTGGTGGTTCTGATATATACATTTAATTCAGAACCCCTTGTTTAGAGGAATTGTTTTTTCCTATCTGTAGTAGAGAGTACCCTTCCCCACCTCAGCCTCTGAGAGTACGCATGACAGCAGAGCGTGTTTATGTGACCTGTAAGACAAACAAAACAAAGTTAAGGAAAAGCGAGAGATGGCTAGAAGAAAATGACATATAGGAAACATAATGTAGTAAATGACATACAGGAAATATAATGCAGTATGATTAGTAAAAGTCTTAACAGATAAGTAATTATAATAAATATGTTATTAAAGTATCATTAAAAAAAACCAAGATTAGGATGGGGATTTAGCTCAGTGGTTCCACCGACTGCCTCACAAGCACAAGGACCCGAGTTTGATCCCTGGTACCAAAAAAAAAAAAAAAAAAAAAAAAAAAAAAGAAATCTGGTTGAAGTGAAGGAAGCCAGAATGCCTGTATTAATGCTACGTAAGATAAATTTTAGGATACATGTAGTATAGATTGTTTTCTAGTTAGAGTGCAATTAAATGAGATGTCAATCATAAAAATGTAAAAACAATAAAATTTCCATGTGTTTGGAAATTTTTAAAACATTTCTAAATGACTCATAGTTCAAAGAAGAATCATACTTCTTTGAACTTATTTAAGAAATTTAAAAATTTCTTACAACCAAACAGTAATGAAACTATCTTACCAATAATTGTAAGATGCAGTGAAAATTGTGTTTTGAAAAAAAATTTATTATACTAGAAAAGAAAGATAGAAAGTTAATGAAACAATGGCCCAGGTAAGTCAGTAATATAAAAAGAAGAAAATAAAATTATCAGTAATTTCTATGTCATTTCAGTCTTTTCGTATGTGTTACTCCTTTACGATAGAAATAGGAAGCTGATAGTGGTGGCACACCCTGTAAATCTCAGTACTCAGGAGACGGAAGCAGGAGAATCACAAGTTCAGGGCTAGCTTGGTCAGCAAAAAAGAAAGATTATATGTGTGCTATTCTCCATTGATTTAATAGTGTATCATATTTTAGTGCAATTAGAAGTTTGTTTGTTTGGTTTTTTGGAGACAGAATCTCACTATGTAGTTGAGACTGACCTGGAACTCACTACATAGCCCAGGCTGGTCTCGAACTCACAGCGATCCTCCTGCCTCAGCCTCCTGAGTGCTGGGATTACAGGTGTGCACCACCATGCCCTGCCTAGAATTTTTTTTATAACGTTATATTTATTGTCTTCATAAGTGTTTTTCCTTTTTGTTCTTTCCTTTTCTTTTTCTTTTAGTGATAGAACCAGGGTCTTGCACATCCTAGGCAAGTGGTCGCCACTAGCTCCTTCTACCACCCCACTCCATAGTTTTCCATTGCATTCATGACTGTACTTTTTAAAATCATATTTTTAGGTTTCTCATTCCACCAAAATTTTGCTTTTATAAACACTGTTAAAGTGAATGCCTTTCTGGTAGCTGTCTGTGCAAACACTTAATCTTTTCTTAGGATAATTTATAGAAGTAGAGCTTTTAGATAAAAGGGTTAGTATAATTATAAGAATTGTAATGCTTGGAAATTAAAGCATTTTAAAAATTGTGTCCACTTTTTAGAAAGGTGGCCCTTTATGTGTGGCTTTGTTTGTTTGTTTTGTATCAGGGATCGAACTCAGGACCTTGCACTTGCAAGGCAGGTGGCAGCACCACTGAACTAAGTCCCCAGCCCCAGAAATGTAACCATTTAGAGTTTGGGTTTGGCTTTACAATAACCTTTCTGACAATAGTTTGGCAATCATTTTATCTTTGTAGATTGAACCTATCCAAACTTATAATTCAAAAACATCCATTAACTTTAACTTCACTTAAAGCTAAGAATCTGTGAGTTACATCATTTGCTTTAGAATTTCAGATGACAGTGAGAATTGGTCCAAGGATCCTTCACTAAGTAAAGAATGTTCTTCTGTCTCTTGCTTTAGCAGGTCCTTACTTCAACCCTCGCTCTCGGCAGAGAATTCCACGTGATCTAGCCATGTGTGTCACCCCGAGCGGCCAGTTCTACTGCTCAATGTGTAATGTTGGGGCTGGTGAAGAGGTGGAATTCCGGCAGCATTTAGAGAGCAAGCAACACAAAAGCAAGGTGTCTGAACAGCGGTACAGGAATGAGATGGAGAACCTGGGTTATGTATAGTGGTTGTCATATTCAGCTAGATCAGCTTGTCCTGCCTGTTTGCCTTCTGTCTACTTGCCCTGCTTTGTGGTCCTTTTGAGATGAGTCCATTCCTCTGCTTGATGTTAATCTGTGTACCCTGCAGTGGTACCACGAGATGTCAAAACTCGGGGGCGGGGGGAGGGAGGCGTGCTTCTTAGGTCCTAACACTTTTTCAGGTCAACTGTGTTGAGCTCTGTATAGCATGTGACCTACCTACCCCATCACAAAAAACATTTTATCTTGACCAAGTTCTGGTTGACTTAGAGATACAACTATTTGAAAGTTTCATCTTGTTTCGCAATTTTAGTTTTATGTTTTGCTAGATAAAAGAATAGTGTTGAGTTCTTCAAATCACAATAAAAGCTAAGATTTGTTTCTCAAGGGTTCACTGGAATCATCACCTCAACACACTGTCGGTAGGGTCTGTCATCACAGTCTGTGTTAAGGTCTCTCCAGGACATTGTTCCCTGTATCATGCAATGCGAGTTTTCTTGGATTCAGACCCGTTTAGTGCGCTTGTGCTCTTCCAGACCACTAAACTTCATTTCCACTTGTGGATTTCACACATTTAATTGCCACCTCCTCTCCCCCACCCTCGCAGTTGAATCATCTTGTCTGAGAGGCTTATTTTCATGCCCTAGCTGTGCTGTGGGTTTTCCAAGCCATGGATTTGGATACATGAGTTTAAGATGGGCATAGTTTTAAAAAGAATATTTTCATCTGATTTAGGAAACATAAAGATGTGTTTGCTGTTTTAATGTAGAGTTTTGTCTTCATTGATCATAGTGTAACATACAATTTATGATAGTCTTAACCATAACTTAGGATCTCTTGATATTTTCTTTTTGCAGAATTTTTTAGATAAACCAGTCCCTACACTTTATTGTTCTGTGTTCTGTGAGTTTGTTAGCTGTCCTGAAAAAAAACCTTTAAGACCAGTACCTGCTTCATAGATAGAGAAGAATTTTTAAAACAGCTAGTCAAGTTTTAATATCACCATTTCCAGTAGAAAATTGTTTTTGCTTTTAAAATAAGCCACAGTGCATGTCTAGATTACCAATGGAATATTATGCGAAGTTTTATTAACTCTTGTTTGTATCTATTCACTATATTTTACATGGAGAAGATTGGTGCTCATTCATGCTTCTTTTGAAAGACCAGGTTCACCAGGAAGGTCATAGTGAGCAGTATCTTTGTATATTGGCAAATGGTGATGTGATTGTTTACGTTACTAATTAAAACTCTTGGTAACCTTGAGAATGGGATAGCCAAACAGATAGGTATAATCGTCATTCTGTTTTGGTAATATTTTGAAGCAATTTTGAATAGTCTATACCTATAATTAAAAATCAGTTTCTGTTAAGGTGGTGGTTTATCAAAAATTCGAATTATGTGGTAATTTTTTTCCCCCAGAAACAAAAGAATGAAACCATTTTCTGTTTAAATTTTATCTGAACCTATAACTCTTATTATAATAGCCCCTTTTTGTAGTAGTTGAGTATAAAGTATAGTTAATTAGTTTAGGGCAATTTAAGACTTGTCTTACAGGCCAGTAGGTTGCTCATTTTGCTGCTAAATGTGATTTTTGGTAGATATTAGTACAGTGCTGGTTTTATGATATTTAAAAATCTCATTTCCTCTCTGTACGTGTGTGCATACATATTATACATGCCCTTCTCCCTAAAATTTCATGTGATTCCCTGGAGAGAATTTCACTGAATCCTTATTCCAGATAACATTAAAGATTGTGGGTTTATTTTGTAAAAGCTGTTTTCATCTACTTTCAGTTTTTCCTTTGGAAATGGAATTAAAGGATGTGTTTCCCTGCCCTCTCCACTTAATAATTTCAATGTATGTGTACAAAAAGCAGTGGACTTAAGGGCTTGATGTTTTTTCAGGCCTTGTGTATTCAGGTTTCCAGTTTCCCAGTGCCCTTAATGGATGTTATGAATGCATAAACGCATTTTCTTTTAAAGAAAGAAGTTAGATTTATAGTGTTATTTCTTACTTGCTATATTCCTTTGCACTAAAAAAAGAACTATGTGTTTGTTTTATATGACACTTTAGTACCATATTGCCTACAGTGATTCAATTTCTTAATTTCAAAATTCTAGTTGATAAATACCTTCCATGATCATTTATAGAGCTTTCATGCACATCTGGAAAACATCAGGAATCTCTATGGTAGTAAGTTGTGTTTTGGGCTAGTTACATTGCAGTTTTCTCTTGTTCCATAGGCGAGACAAAGGGTGACAGAAGTTGCCATTGCTGCATGGAACATTTTCTTGCATTGGCACTTGGTGTAGACAGTTTCTTCCCTCTAGGCAGGCTGCTGTTACCTCTGAATTAGTGATATGTGTTCTCTTTTGGTTTCATTGTGTGATGTCCAGTCCTGCTCTGTAACATGCTTTAGGAACTGCACCCTGTGTTCATCAGAAATTAGGTATCTTTTATATGCCCTAAACAACGATGGACAGAGGCCTAAACAAAGAAAAACCTGCAGTTAAAAAAAAAGTAGATTTCAGTAATCATCTGTAAGAATGTATAACATCCAAGTCTCCTTTCTCTGTGAATATCTTTGTGTACATTGCCATTAAAATGTTAATATTAGGGCCGGGGATTTAGCTCAGTGGTTCTGCCGCCTGCCTTGCAAGTGCAAAGGTCCTGAGTTCGATCTCAGGTACAAAAAAAATCAATATTAGAAGATAATTATAAGCACTTTTAAGATATTAAGAGTGAAAGGTTATGAAGGAAAATTTCCACGTTTCAATTAAGATTGGATTGCATATGCCTTTAAAGTATTTTTGTTTTTTTAAAAGTTTAGTCATAAAATGGACTGTGTCCTGTAATCCTTTGACTTCACATTGACTAGAAAATACTTAGTCTTGTCTTGCATATCATGTCCTGCAACTTGTAAATACATGCATGTTGTTTATTATGTTTATCTGCTTGTCTTATTGCACTGAATTCTGTAAGGTGAATACTTTTTTTATCATTCATTTTGAAAAAGTCCTCCGTCACACTCTCACTCTCTTCCATTCTGATGAATTTCTAAACTTAGAACAGCATAGGATTTTGAAACCCTGAGTGTGAATGTGGAGAGTCAGAGCTGAGATCGCCATGTCCCTCTCCCTGGATAGGCCAATGGGAGGCACGAGGTCTTCCATCTCACTTTACAAAGCTGTTCTGCAGAACCATACACTTGTTTATGGCTACTGAGCTACAAACTGAACCAAAAGGAAAGGAGAAATGTATATACATATATATGCGTATACGCGCACCTGGATATGTATATATGTGCATAGCTGGTTAAATCTTCCTCTGCAGATGGATTCTGAGGATTAGCAGCAGGATTTACGATTTCCTCGTGCCTTTGTTGTGTGGCACTGTGAACAGTGACAGTTTGAGGATTATCCATTGACTTATGTGAAATGAGTCCTGTTTGAGTCAGGGGAGACGTGTGAAGGGCAGTGTGACTCAGTGTTCTCTGCAGAGGCCTAAAGATGGTAGATTAGGAACCTACCTTTCTTAGGTAATGTCAGAACTTAGGCTGGAAGTACTCACTTAAGAACTTGGTGAGGCTTGTGCTAAGACAATAGACAATAATACTAATTTCTTTAGAAATAAGTGGAGAAGCAATTTGTTAGGTTAGGCAAAAGTTTCGAACAGGTGTTTAAAAAATTCCACCTTACCACCCATGTTTTTCTTACCAGACAAGTCACTGTGTTCAGGTGTTCCGTGTATAATAAAAAAGTGTGTCATTGCTGTTTTTGTGTTCTTGGTGGGGGAACTCCTACCACTGTGAGCTGTTACTGTCAGTGTAGCCGATGGACAAATAGCTGTGTAAATAGCTTCTCATAAGATTTCTACTGATAGGTATTAAATGTTTTCTTCCCCTTTGAATGGGGGGATCATTTGTAAACTCCCTTTCTGGGTAGCTACCAAAAAAAGTACTGGCTTACGGTCCTGTGTGACCCTTGTCTGTCAAGCCCAGAATATGAGTGCCTTTAGCAAGTATTAGCATTTCACAGAGAAGGGATGACAGAATTACTGCTGTTAATCATGGTTCATAGAACGGGAGCTTGGAATAGCAAAGATCTACGTGAATTCTGTTCTACATTTTTTTTTCTTAACACAGTCTCAATTTGATATTAAACACAACCTAATCCGTCAGGAGACATATACCCTGAACATAAATCCAGGTGTCTGAGGCTGGCAGCGCTCACCTTGGTGTGCTGCCTCTGTATTTAGTGAATGGTAGTGAGGTGTGTTGGGGGAGCTTGACACTGATGCTTCGGTAAATTCTTTATTCCAGTGTCTTTTTCCAACTTGTCTTTTTCTTAGAGAGGAGAGAATGACATATTTGCCAGTATGCAAATTTGCCTGGCTGGCATGATTATTAATTAATTATTAATTGTGCTAATTCATCTTTGCTTTACAAATCAAGTTGGAGGCCTTTATAACAACATTTTCCCTAACTTCATTTAATTAAAAGTTCTGGATTGCTTGAGTGGCTAGAATCTTTAAAACACACTGCTGAAATGATTTTGCTACAGAAATACTAACATCTTCTCACGAAAAAATTTAAACATTTGTCAAAGTAGAAAACACTTTACGACATACCCCACCACTAGAGTCCACCATTAATGTTTTACCGCTCTTACATTTCCACATATCTACCTGTCCCTCGCTCGGTTGGTCTATCAGCCCATCAGTCTCTTGGTCCGACAAAGCACTTCCCCTAGGTGCATTAACCAGGGTTTAATATTGATTTAACTCTTAATATCTTTGTGAAAGCAGTGTGTGAAGTTGGTACCCTGCGCCAATTAACATACTTCTTTTTTCTCCCATGGATTTAAGTCTTCCAGTTTCTGTTTTCATGTGTACTTAGAGTGAAGGAAGACACCTCCTTTTTCTAACTGAAATTTTCTAGAGTTGGTTATTTGAAATGCTTAATTGTCATCAATGTTGAAGTTTCACGATAAAGAGGTATTTTTTCTCCTTACCCGTCTTCTGCCGGTGGTATTTTGCTAAACTATGCAGCTTCTTCAGAAAACTGTAAATGATAGATTGGGGTTTATGAAATCAGCTTATACCTCACTTCACCAATTGCTGCTTTTCCTCTTGTTGTCACTGCTGTCAGCTGCTCTACCAGAAGGTAGAGGGGAGGAAAGGGTCAAACCCATGTATAATGAGCTGTTTCAAACAACTTGAGAACGGTTTAAATAGTTTAGAAAGTTGAAACTATTAGTTTAAGGGAGTTTGATTTGGATTGCCTGAGTATTGTAATTACCCATGCTTCCTCTAGCTGTAATTAGCAAAATTTAAAATGATTGTACTGTACAATGAGTTGTTGAAATTGTGAGCCTTAGTAACTATATTTAGCTTTACTCCAATAATGTTTAGAATTTTTTGGATATATGCCTTTATTTTATGTTCCTTTTTTGTGGATAAATCTGCAGAATTTAACCTACTTACTTGAGTTCGTGAAGATGCAATGGGTAAAATCAAATCAGAAATGAAATTTGAATGTTCCTGATTTATATTCTTGTGCTTGTTGGATATAGTTCTTGGTTTCTGAAATAACCGAATACTTCCTTTGGACCCTTAAAAGGAAGATAAGTATTTTTACTAATTAGATTTTTATTTTTAGACATTTCACGGTATTCTCGTGGCCATAGTACTTAAGTAAGCCCGTTGCAATTGCTGAAATCTCACTGCACTGTTAAATACCAACTAATAATGCAAGGTTTATCAGATTTTTTTTTTTTTACCTTTAAATGGCCTTCATGATTCTCTCATAATTCTATGTAAGTGCTGAAGTGACCCCCTCACTAGTGAAAATAAATGTTCTACATCACTGGTTATATGTGTATTCTCTACATATTTTTTTTTTTTAGGGAAAAGTAACTCCATGTTTCAGAATGAGCGATATTATCTTAGGAAAAGGATATATAGTTTATTTCTATGCTGCATATCTGGCATTTTTAGGAACAAAACTCTCTTGGGAGTGGCTGTTGTTTTGCCTTCTGTCAGTACCTGAGTACCTTCCTGTAGTTTTGTAAATCATGGTGTTATTTTGTAAAAATGTCATGTTGATTCTGCATTGTTTGGTTTTCACTCTGAGGTACCTCTGTTAACTGTGGTGATTGGGGTTGGGTGGGTGTATTTGCTTGGCAATGCCTTACCAGAGTATGTTGGGCTCTACTTTAAAGCAGTGCATGTGTCTTCTAGGACAAAACATGTCCTCTCTCAGATGTGTGCTCTAGATCCAGAAGTAAAACTGATTTTGCTTTCCCTGTAAAGGTTACATTTTAATGCAGTTACTGTCTTAAGAATAAAATCATGGGAAACCAAGGGAGACTCTAAGGACCCTTCATGAATGGCATGGCAGCTTTTAAAACTGCTTTTGCTACTTCACAAGACCTATACCTTTGTTAAAAGATATAGCTAAAAAAATGCCAGCCCAAACTGTATGAAATTGAGGTTGTTTCATAAAATTTTCTTTAAATGTTACACAGGGGTTTTAGATCTTTGTATGCTATTGGAGCAATGTGCCAGGAACTGTTTGGAAATCCGTTTTTGTTCTGGGACTGCAGAAATGACAAATGTGTCATGGGATTAAAACCAATCAACTGTGAATTGTCAAATTGACATTGCTCTTTTGGTTTTCTTTTCTTCAGCGTATTGAATATAGAAATCTGAAAGTTAGTTAAAATTTACACTGCTTATGTTGATGGCTCATTTTGGCTGTGTATTCTCACTTATGTACTGATTTCTGATAAAAGCTTGATGTTATTATAACAGGCATTTTGTGTTCAGTTTAATAAAACAGTTTCTGAGTCTTGTCTGAAAATGGTTTGGCTTGAGTTGGAGATCAAGGAAGATGGTGAATCGTCAGCACCGAGGTGTTATTTCCATGCTGATTGTTGAGGAAGGTGGGGTCCCCATTTCTCAGTCTGCACTGCCTCTGCCATGCACTTCCTCAACTGTACAGAGCTGGGAAACTGGAGCTTGCAGTGGGATTGACTTTGCTGCCCACGTTTTCCCCTCCCCATCGCTGGAGTTGGCTGGGGATTGCAGTGTACTCTCAGTTTCAGTGATTGGTTTTAGTACTTACCTTCCCTTTAAATTTGAGAAAGGCCGGCCTTTGCAAGACCACAGCCACTGCTCTGGAAACAAACACATATTAAAAATCATATACTCATTAATCTTTTAGATGTTTCATATATAAAATACTCCTACAGATACAATAGATTTATATATGCAATGTATTATTGAGATGTGGTCCTTTAAGCACTTTGGTTTATACGCAGTGTGCTTTTGAATTTCAATGCTCATTTTAGAAAGTAGATTATAGGCTGTAAGAAGACTGCTATGCTTTGTTTAATCGGGATGCAAGACACATACACTGAGTGTCGTGGGAAAAATTCTTTGTCTGAACAAAAATGTTTCTCAATGAAGTGAATAGCACATTGAATTTTTGTGTTGTAAAATATTCAAAGCATGAGCACATTTATTAAGTCATCCCCAAGAGATTTTTAGCTTAAAAGGAAGCTGTAATAATGGGTATAAAAAGTCTTAAACCACTAGAGATTTTCAGCCTCCCTTCAGGTATTTCTGAGGCTTATTGCCTGGGAGTCTATTCAGGATCAAGCACTGGGTGTTATCCTTTAAAACTGCTTCTATGTAAAAGGCTTCAGCGAACTTTTCCAGGACTTATAAATTGATATGAGATTGTGAAGAGATCAGAAATACATTTTTTTTTTTGTGATGAGTTTTAAGACTTTTACCATTTGAGTTAAGGCCCAATCCACCAAGTATTCTTATTTGCGAGATATTCATAAGCTGTTGAAAAGTGGGAAATTATGTAAAAGATGAAGATACTGTATTATATAGTGAACTATGAATGCTGTTTAATAAAGATGTGACTATGAGCTTTTACCAAAACCAAAGTAAAACAACCCCAATACCTTTTGTTACACACGTACACAGATACACACTATACAAGTGGGTTGTATATAAGAGAGTCTAGAAATACATTTAAAATGATCAAGTAACACTAATGAAACATGTCCAAAGGAACAGATGTTAAATCTGCCACTGGAAGAAATGTGGCAGTTATACTCACACTTGGCATTTTGGGTAAGTCTTTTAAGTGTGTGCTTAGGGTTTCAAGTGTGTTTTGGCTGGCAGCTGGCCTTCCAGACGGAAGCAAGATGTCTGTCATTTTAACTTCAATTTTTTAATCTTTGCTCATGCCAGAGGCACTTCTTAAACCCTGTTTTCTAGACAATTTACTTGGTTATGGAATCAGACCAAAGGTATCTAGTGCCACCTTGTGGCACCTCCAAAATTTGCAGCTAGCAGCTTGTCTAATAATTTTTTTTTCCTCATTGAGTTTATTGGTACATTTCAGGTATACAGTACAGTTACATTCATCATTGGGATCTTGTACCTTTACATGACAGATCTTGGTTCTTATTTTTCCCCATACCTAATAATTTTTAAACAGCATCTTTGGTCAAAAAAATCTTGTGGAGGATGTGAATTTCTTTTGTTAAATAAAACAAAACTCAATTTTATCTGTAAATAAGCAAAGAAATATATTTAAGAGATACTGGGTACTGTATTTTTTATGGCTTTAAGCTGCTAAAAGAAATGGTGAACTGAGAATCAGGATACATATGTGTATGTACAGATATATATGCATATATAAATACACTTTCTGTGATGCTTTAAAATTATTTTTCTTTTGAAAATCTCATATTTATACATTTTTGTCTGCATGTAGACAATTAAAAAAACCATGGAATTTAAATTAAGGTTGATGATGGCCAGGGATTTAGCTCAGTGGTGCTGCCGCATGCCTCACAAGCGCAGGGTCCCAAGTTTGATCCCTGATTACCCCCACCAAAATTAAGGTTAACGAAAACCCCAAACAAAAAGTAAAGAACTATAAACATCTTGACTCAAAAAAGACTGGTGGAAATTAAAAGCAAAATTATGTACAGGAGCAAATGAGACAAAACACAGGAATTATGCTGACAATAAGAAAGCTAAGCTATAAAGTATTTCATTTTTCCAAATATATTTAGGGGGAGAATATAATATTTCCTGCTTCAGTAGGTTAGCTATGCAGAAGGGGTATCTTTTAAGACTTTTGTTGTTTTTCAAACTGAAAAAAAAAGCATGCTGGACAACATCTCAGTTCTGTCCGTAGCATGTTGGTTCATCTCTCTGAACTGTGGTTCCCCGGAATTCGGGTGTTAGGTAGGAACTCCAGTAATTATTTCCACTCTTGTCTCGGTACTATGGATAACCGAGCGGACTGATCCCTTCCCTAGAAACGAAGTCACTTTTGAATAGTCGTCTTGAACTCACCCCTGCGCCCTGTGCTCCCCGGCCCTGCCCAGAGCCGGTCACAGTTACTGGTTGTTTTGGTTTGCGCCCTGTGTGTGGATGGCGGCCTTCCAGCCCTGCTGCTCGTCACCTTGGGCTTTTTGGTGAGCAGTGTTCCGTGCCAGGCATTCCGTACCGGCACGCGGAGATGGATTTCATTCTTTTTCGTTGTGTGGTATTCCCTTCTAGGATTTAAAAATTTAAAAAATAGCGTTTATTGGTCCTCTGAATATATATATATATTTGATCTTTTAAGAGCTTAAACATTTAAAATACTCATAAAATTTACTGTTACAACCATAGGTGTACAATTTTGTGGCATTAGGGACATTCACTTTGTTGTAGACTCCTGAATGAACTTTTTTCATTCCTCTCAAACTGACACTCTGTACTCATTAAATAATGACTCTCCACTCCTTTCTCCCCTGGCGTCTGCCATTATATTTTCTGTCTCAGAATCTGGCTCCAAGTATGTGGGGTTATACAGCATTTGTCCTCTTATGTCTGTGTTATTTCACCTTAGCATAATGTCCTCAAAGTTCATCTGTACTCTGCTACATGTCAGACTTTACTTCCTTTTGAAGGCTGAATAATATTCCTTTTTATGGACATACCACAGTTTGTACATCCATTCATATATTCATGGGTGCTTGGGTTCCTTCCACCTTTTGGCTGCTAGGAATAATCTTGCTATGAACATGGGTGTATTGGCTATATATAAATTACAGGCTGTTTAACATGCACAAGTTATAGAGGATAACCAAATAATCATATACTCATCTCTGAGCTCCTTAGCATTATCAAATCTTAAGATTTTTCTGTATTTTATTCTATTTAATTTTTTTTTTTTGTACTGGGGGTCATACTCAGGCCCTTGCACTTGTGAGATAGGTGGCAGAACCACTGAGCCAAACTCCCAGCCCCTATTTTATTTTATGTTTAAAAGAAAGAAAACATAACATTTAACCAAGGCCTGCTACGCAACCCTCTCCAATTCCAATCTCTTTTCTCCCTCCCAGATAAACCTACAATCTTCACTTTGATTTATTATTTCCGTGTATGTGATTAATACCATGTATATCCATAATACATAGCATTGCTTATGCTTTCAAAAGCAGTATAAAGGGCATCACAGTGTACAGACACCTCTCTATTTTTCTTTTTTTAACTCAACATTTTGAGACATCTACGGTGGCTCATGTAGACCTAATTTATTTTAGACATCGTGTCGTGATCCATTGTCCAGTGGTACCACAGTTACTTCACCCTTCTGTTGACAGATATCTAAGTGCCTTGCAATAACTATTCCAAACAACATAACAGGAAGAGTTTCTTTTTTTTTAATTTTTTTTCTTTTTATTGAGGTTATTGGTACAATCTAGGTATACAATACAGTTACATTCATCATTGGGATTCTGTACCTTTACATAATAGGTCTTGATTCTCATTTTCCCCCTGTCCCTGCCCTCCCCTCACCCCCTCCTCCCCTCTCCATTTATAAACACTTTATTTCCATTTTTTCAGTTTCTCATATTTTTTCCTCTCCCTTATTACCTCTCCCCCACCCTTCCCACTTTCCTTACACCTTTAGCCCTTTACTTTCTATTTCACATTATTAATTGTCTCATTAGGATCCTGTGGTAAGTGTTTTACATATTGATATCTATCTATGCCTTCATAGACATTTGTGTGATGAGTTTGAGAAATTAAATCCTTATGCCATCATCTTGGAGCCTGTTAGAAAAGCCGCACTCCCGGCCCCGTACGAGGCTTACAGGATTAGAACCTAGCTTCATTCGAGAACCCCAGGTGACCCACAAGTGCATTAAAGTCGGAGCAGTTGTTCTCATACGTGGAATCACTTGACAAGTTAAAACAATTTATGCCAGACGATGTTGATTTAATTACTCTAATGTATTCCCAGGTCACCAAAGATGTTTCAGAGCTCCTTAGGGAATTCTAATGTGTAGCCAAGATTTAGAGTACCTAAAACAGCTGTGGCTGCAGTGGGCTTGCCACCTGCTTTAACAGGATGCCTCTTCAGGAAGGAAGTTTCACCTGTAAGGGGCTAGAGCTGGCAGGTAGATGGAATCTCGAATCCAGGAAATCATCAAACACTTGAGCAGATGCTGTGTCCTATTTTAAATCCAATTAATTCTTAGTCAATAGAGTTTAATTTACTTAAACACTTGCAAGGCATTAATTATACATCAAGTGATCTTCTGATAAGCACTTATTAATGGTATCTCATTAGTATTTGTTAGAAAATTTCCTTTCCACTAAAGGAGGCTTGAAATTTTGACTGAAATAGAAGAGTGTATGGGAAAGTCAGAGGGATATGGTGGTAATACAAAATAAATCACCTGAGGACAGTGAGGCTTCTTAGCTTTGCGTTCAGGGCAGCTCTCTGCTTTCCCAGAGGAAGCCACCGTGCAGCTCACCTGCAAAGGGCACGGGCTTCGTGTACACAGAGCTCCTGCTTCCTGAAGGAACTGTGCCCAATGTGTGATGAGACTTTTCTGCTTAACAGCACAGTGACATCGTGGTCAAGACTGGGAGAATTCCTGATACAGTCTCTGAGCTAATTATTATTAGTTATTTATTTTTTTGGTGCTAGGGATCAAACCCTGGTCCTTGTGCTTGCGAGGCAGGTGGTGGAACCACTGAGTTAAATCCCCAGCCCTCAGAGCTAATTATTGTCTACCCAGTCATTCCGTGTCTTTGTGACTCAGTTGTAGAACAGAGCACTTTACTCACAACTAGACTGGCTCTTTCAAAAATGTATTTATGTGACCTAAAGGAAAATTTTCAGAGTTTTTTTCATCCATTACTTAAATTCATGTTTAGTCACCTAAGTAAACATACACACACTTTCACTCCTAAATACTCAAACATGGGCTGGGAATATAGCCTGGGGGTGGAGTGCTTGCCTACCACATGCAAAGTCTGAGTTCAATCTCCAGTACTACAAAAAAGAAAAAAAAATCACTTTTAAAAAGGAAAAATATTTCCTTAAACTCCCCATTTTCCCAATCCTGCCTTTTCTTCCTCAGAAGTAACCAGCATTACCAGCACAATTTGTGATCCTGAAGCACTAGGGACCATCATGGTGGGTCAGTGCAGGTACAGAAGGCTGAGATGACAAACTCCTGGGTGCATTAAGCGGTTACCCTTTGTAGCATGCACGGCATGTTTCAAAAGACCCATCGTGAGACACTGATCAAAAAACATAAAAGCAGAATGTTTGCATGAAGCGAGAAACTGTTACCAAAAACAAAACAAAGCAAAACTCCCGAACAACCAAAATGAAATAACCCCATGAGCTTCACTTAAAATCACTAATTTTGGATATC